CGAGGCGGGGCGAGGCGGGGCGAGGCGGAACGCGAAGTAGTCTGTCTAGGAAACAGTAACGTCCTTGCGAGCCCTAAGCATCGCTCACGTATTGTCGTCACAGTACACGTCATGAGGGGAAACGCCCTGCCTGGGCCATTCAGGCACGGTGCAGGCAACAAAAGATCGGAGAAGTTGAAATAGCCACCCAAAGAAAGGATGACATTTCTTTTTCTGGATGTAAGCTTGTATCTTTATGACGTCTCTTATTTCTGTTGCCTTATTGCCTTGGAATCCTCAGCACCAATCTGAGGGTCCAGCTTGGCTTTGATAGCTATAATTCTCTCTCTCCTTTTTACTACTTCCACGGAACTTATGGACTAAAGCACCTTGTGCTTAATGACCGTATCACATTACAGAATTCGTAAGCTTGACCTGCTCTGACCAGCATGCACACCCTGGCAGGGTTAGCACCACCTCCTAAGTGATTTCAGGGGCGGGTATCACGGCTCCTCTGCATCCTCACACGGGCAGGTTGACCTTTTTTTTTTTTTTAAATCTTAACTTCATTTTTTAAATGATTGGAGAGTGTCAACTTATTATAAAACATAAAATAATAAAAACTGAGTAAAAAAAGCAAAGAAGCCCCCTTTCCTTATTAAAAACAGAATATGTCTGGAATCACTGTGAAGCTATCCCAAGGGTTGCTAGGCACATTCAAAACCCACAACACTGGAATTATTCTCTAGTAACGTCCCAAAATTTAGATTTAAAATCCTTCACGCAAATTAAAGTTTAAAACCCTATTTTACATATATGGGTGTTTTGTCTGTAGGGAAATGCCCCACATGCTTGCAGTGCCTGGGGAGGCCAGAAGAAGGTGCCGGGTTCCCTGAAACTGGAGCCACAGATGTGGGTGCTGGGAATCAAACCCGGGTCCTCTGGAAGAGTAGAATTGCTCATAACCATTGAGCAGTCTCTCCAGGCCCCCAACTCCTTAGCAGTGATTGCGGAAAGGATTCTATGACAATGCATATTTAGCGAGCAATTAGCTCCCCTGCCATTCTAATTGTATATAAAGATACCCCCTCCTGGGGGGGCAGCAAGAGGCACACTTCCAGGGTTCCATAACACCTAGAGGTGCAGGAGAGATTTGTATGATGGTGGAGTTTCGGTGCCTCCTTTCCTCCCTATGCTATAAAACGACTATACCATCACTCCAAAGCACTGCCTTGTAGTTTGGGACACAAAATGGCTCAGTGTGGCTTCATGTTTCATGACCTACCTCCATTTCAAGGTATTCTTGGGGGCCATAAGTTATTTTAGGTCCACCCTTAGGCTCAGTCCGGTCCTGTCGTTCCTAAACCGATCCTGACCGGATGCAGGAAATGCCACGGGAGCCCGTGGTCGGTGGCTCAGCAGAAGCGGGCTGGCTGCCAGATGTCCTGCCCATTCATTCAGGCTAAGTGTGGGAACCGCTTAGCAGGGGACCCGCTGGGATCTCCCAATGAATGGGAAGGAATAATTACACTTTTCCTTAGGGAAGAGGAGAGGAGAGGTTCAGGGTTTACACATTTTGGAAGGTCTATAATTCCAAGTCTATCAGACAGCCTAGGAGAACCATCAAAAGGAGACAAAGATGCCAGATGTGGGTGGTGGCGCACACATTTAATCCCAGCAGTGGGGGGGGGGGCAGAGGCAGGTGGTTTTCTGTGAGTTCAAGGCCAACCTGGTCTACAGAGTGAGTTCCAGTACAGCCAAGTCTGCACAGGGAGACCTTGTCTCAAAAACAAACAAAACAAGAAAGAAAGGAAGGAAGAAAAGAAAAATCAACTAAACAAAAACTGAGTTGCCGGCTGCAGACACAATGGTTGTTCGGATGTGTCTGGACCAGTGGGTGCAGACTGGGGGCTCAGGGCAGAGGGATTCCTTTGTCTTTCAGAAACCCCCGACTTTCTCAAAAGTCCACATGTTTGAGGGTCCCGCCCTCTAAGCTGCAGACTGTCAGGCTGAGTGGGCCTGTAGAGCTGTGTCTTCGCGGGCTTTCCCGGCAATTTACACAGGGCCATTGCTGACTGATGAATAAAGTCAGGAAAGAATGTTTTTGGGAGTCGGCCCTCAGTGTGAGAGTGGTTCCTTCAGCTCTTAGAGGAGAAAAGTGGATGAACTGTTTGCTTATCTCTCACTGCTTCTCTTGTGATCTTCTCTCTCTCTCTCTCTCTTTCTCTCTCTCTCTCTGTTTGCGTTTTTTCAAGCCAGGGTTTCCTGTAGCTTTGGAGCCTGTGCTGGAACTAGCTCTTGTAACCCAGTCTGACCTCAAACACACAGAGATCTGCCTGCCTCTGCCTCCCAAGTGCTGGGATTAAAGGCGTGTGCCACCACCGCCTGGCTCTCTTGTGATCTTTTAAACTTAAGTATCCCCTTACATTCTTGATACCTCTGCCCACTTGAAAAAAGTGTGCTTTTTTTTTTTTTAAAACCCTGCCCATCACAGCTTTATACAGTCTGTTAAGACCCTGGGGATGGGGGCGGGGGGAGGGGAGGAGGACTAGAGGAGATTAGTGAGGCCAGGAAATGGGGGTTCTCACACCTGTTCTTAGTCACCCACGATGGTCACTTGGAACATGAAGCCACGGTGACAAGTCCCTGGGGGCACTGTGCCACCTGAGGTAGTAGTCCCCAGCCCAGGCGCGCCAGTCATGTTCAGGATGCCAGGGAGGGAAGTGGGAGCATCTCTGGGTGGAAGTGACTATGAAGGATCTTACACATAAGAATCATCGGCCTATTTAAAAATATGAACTGACAAAACATGGTGACTCAAACTTTCTTCTGGAAGGAAGTCAGTGACCAGGGGAAAGAAAAGGAAGTGGCTGGCATTCTGACTTCAATGTAGGTGTTCAAACCAAGTCATAGGTACAGGGAACAGATAACCTGTCACACTGGGGCAGGAGGAAGAGCAAGGCAACCAGTTGCCCGAGGCCTGTCTTGTGCTGGGGACAGTTCTGCACAGAATAAAGGGGTGAAGGGTTTTTAATTTTGTGTCCCAGATGAAGGGACCAGATGTGCTAACCTCCAAATTCCACGAAGTCACACCGGAAGTGTTTCTCACAGGCTTCAAATTAGCATCGGTTAGCCCATCTCCCAGAAGAAAAGATTTTAGGATTAAGTTGTAAGTGAGGAGCCGCGGGCATTATTACCTGTCGTGTCTCAGTATGGGTGTAGGCAGCACACTGGTCAGAAGCCAGCCGAATTCAGCCAGGGTGTGCAGCAGAGGGCCGTAGTCTGTTTTGATTTCACAGCCCTGTGGGAATAAGCATAAGAGCTGACATTCTAATAGCAAAGACAGCGGGCCACATGGTAGCTAGGAAGAGGGGTGCCGGCGGGGATGGGGGGCAGTGGACTCTCGGTCCAGTGGTAGAGAGTCATGAGGGCTGCAGCTCCCAGAGCTTCATCTGCCGCCAACAGCTGCCGCCTTAGACCCACAGCTGGACGGTGGCCATTCATGCAAAAGCCACGGTTTTCAGCTCTCATGTGTGGCACTGGAGACCTGCGTTTGAAGAGATCCTTGGGGCATCCATTCCATGAAGTTTACAAGGCAGATTCAGCAACAGCAGTCTAGCGACCGTATGAGAAAATGAGAGCGGGCATCGGGGGGTCTCAGGAGTGGGCAGTGACGCTGACGGGGCCTGGATTCGGGGTCTCAGAAGTGGGCAGTGATGCTGACGGGGCCTGGATTCGGGGTCTCAGGAGCGGGCAGTGACACTGACGGGACCTGGATTCGGGGTCTCAGGGGTGGGCAGTGACCCTGACCGGGTTTGGATTCGGGGTCTCAGGAGCGGGCAGTGACGCTGACGGGGCCTGGATTCGGGGTCTCAGAAGTGGGCAGTGACGCTGACGGGGCCTGGATTCGGGGTCTCAGAAGTGGGCAGTGACACTGACGGGGCCTGGATTCGGGGTCTCAGGGGTGGGCAGTGATGCTGACGGGGCCTGGATTCGGGGTCTCAGGAGCGGGCAGTGACGCTGACGGAACCTGGATTCGGGGTCTCAGGGGTGGGCAGTGATGCTGACGGGGCCTGGATTCGGGGTCTCAGGGGTGGGCAGTGACGCTGACGGGACCTGGATTCGGGGTCTCATGTCAGCAGTGACACTGACAGGTCCTGGACTGGGGTCTCCCTTAAATAAATAACCCCTTTTATTATTCATAATTCTAAACTGGTGTGGGATTGTTTTTGTGACTTACGCCTACATGGTTTCAAGGCTTTGTTGTAGTGAGAGTTTCAGTATCAGGGTTTGTTCAGGGCTAGACTATCAGATTTGGGGTAACCTACTTTTATTTTGACGTAGACAAATTTTTGTTTTGTTTTGTTTTGTTGCTGTTGTACTGAAACGTTTGAAACTGTGGGTAAAGTTTTTTTTGGATAACATTGGACTATCTGTGTTTAAGGATTCTGAGTGTACCAGCACAAAAGGAAAACAAAAGTGTCAGAAACTGCGGCTCACCTCGATGACCGTCCACTGCTCCACCACAATGGCGTCATTTCCTTTCCTGTTAGAACCTGGAATGACAGGACCTTCTTCTTCATAGATAAAAAATCCTTCCAGAGATTTAGGCGAAGGGTCCCCTGTCAGGGAAAGGATACAGTTCAGAAGAGCCATTGAGTAAATGACACCTGTTTCTGAGTATCATCAAGAGCCTCGGGTAGCTACTGTAACCAGCTGAAGAAAAGCTTGTCAGTCGGAAGCTATTTCCTCCTGGGAGCAGCCCCGGGCTCAGTCCCAGCATCACAGGGTAACAGAAGCTGGGTGAGGCCCACACTTGTAATCGCAGGACTTGTGAGCAGAGGTAGAAGGCCCAGAAGTTTAAGGTCATCCTCAGCTCCATAACAAGTTTGAGGCCAGCCTGGGCTACCTGAGATGCTGATTACAGCATTAGAATGTCCTGGAGAGATGGCTTAGCAGTTAAGTGTGCCCGCGAGTCCTCCAGAGCTCGGTTTGCAGCACCATGCTGGGCAGCTTACAATTGCCTAAGTAAGCTTCAGGGAATCCCATGAATCTCTGGTCTCCATGGGCACTTGCACATATATGGACATGAGAACAGGTACATGCACACACACAGACGGACACTTATATGTACACTCAAATAATAAAAAACTTTACTGAGAAAACACACTTAAAACAAAATTTATTTTGCTTGAGTCCTTCTGTTTCAAGATTTCCTTTCTCCCTATAGGTAAAGAGGGTTTTATATTTCACCAAAATAAAATCAGACATATACAAGAAGCTACCATAGAGGAGACAAGATTAAGTAATATGAACACGAATGGACGGTCAGTCCCAGAAGAATCTGGAAATGACCTTCACCTTGAAACAAAACTCTGATTCTGATCTGCGTTAAATCACCAATGGAAACATGAAAATGTTGATCCTTGAATTTACAGGTATAATTATAATAAAGTATAATAAAATAATATTAAAAATTACAGGTGTAATATTAAAATCAGCGTGTGGATTATAAGCGGAGATCTGGGAGGACGGCTCCGTCGTTAAAGCCCTTGCTGTGATCCCCAGGATCGCCATAAAAGTCGGCCCTGCGGAGGCAGAGACAGGCAGATCCAGGGCTTGCTGACCCGCGACCTGGACAAAATGTCAACCACCAGGTTGAGAGAGAGACCCTGCTCCCCCCAATAGGGTGGCTAATGCTAGAGAAAGACAATGGGGTGTTGACCTCTGGCCTCTAGATGCACATGCCTGGGCAGGTGCACACATGTACCATGTGTATACACACACACACACACACAATCATAAGCATGGAACAATTCTTTACCTCAGTGCATTAAAAAGTCCCAAGTCCCCCGTAACAGCGACAGGAAGACTCCTACAGAAGTCATTGTCCAAGAATTCCTGCCCGGAAGGAAGTTTGAAGCGGAGGCCTCTTTGACATTTTTCTTGCACAGTTGACAATAACCATCTGGCCTAAACTAAGGGATTTGATGGAAATTCTTTGTCTCCTATTTTGCAAGAAAGATGTGTTTTTCTCATGGCCATGTGCTGGGTAAACACTGTGCGTTTTGTGTGGGACACGTCACGTCAAGTTTCCCTGTTTGCCACAGAAGGTAGAATTGCTTTGCTACAGTTACGATACGTATACATTGCAGTTATATGGTAATTAATTATAATGGAGAAATTTATCTTTGTTTTCCAGTTAGCTTACATCACGATGGACTCATACACAGTCCACCTTGGAATATATGGCTTAGTGCGATCCAAGTAGAATCTGCACCTTATGTTTATATTTTAATAAGGAACGTATTTTCTAATATATCAGCACAACCATTTTTATTTTATTGTTACCGTCTCCATTAAAAATGGTCTGTCTTGAAAAAAAAATCCTGTTTGAGGGTTTTCTGAATAAGAACGGCTGCAAAGGCAAGGTTTTCATGTGATGAAGCTTAAAGACAAAACTAATTTTGGTGTCATTTTTTAGTTTTAATTTTTATTAAGAGACTGAAACTTGAGAGCAAATTGTTTTTTGCTTTTTTTCCCCTAATTGTTTTTGTGACAGGGTCTCTGTGTACCCCTGGCTGTCCTAATGCCTGTCTTGTCACTCATGATGGCCTTTAACTCAGAGCTCTGCCTGCCCCTGCCTCCCAAGTGCAGGACTTAAAGGTGTGCACCGATATGCTGGTCTCGCTTTTCTTTAAACACGGTTTGCCTTTAGGGGAGAACGCAGCAGAGAATGCGGCTCCACTTTCTCTGGCTCTGGCTGCTACTATCGCACCACAGCCACGGGCAGAGCTAGGGCTGAGAAGGAGAGCGATATGTCTCAAGGCTGTTTTCAAAACAGCGCTGTGGATTTTGAAATAACTATAGATTGCGGTAATTATAGTCAGCTGCAATTTGCCCTCCGTTTCCTTTGTAACTTTCCAGTGTGAAAAACCACTTTTCCTGCTCTCAGTACTGACAGCACGGGCATTTCTAGCCTTTTTGTGAGATAGGGCAGTCTGGAACTTGCACAATAAACCAGGCTGACCTCAAACTCAGAGATTTGTCTGCCTCTGAGATTAAAGGCATGTGCTACCATGCTCAGCCCTAAACTTTAAAAATAAAAATTTGCATCTGTTATATCTATCTATCTATCTATCTATCTATCTATCTATCTATCTATCTAT